TAATACCTATTTTGTTGTTAATAAGCTAAGTTACAATCAGAAATTAATAAATAAAATATATCAGAGGGCTAGATCGTATTTTAATTTTTTTATATATACCGCCGGGCTGGGCCTAAAATTATTTATAAAAAAATATCCGAACAGGGCCGGCCATATATATCAAATTAAATATTTAAAATCGCTTTTATTAGCTAAAAAATCTATTATAAATATAATATATTTTAAAAAAATCCGGGCCGGGCTAGCCGTATATTGTAAATTAAATATTTGTAATACCTATTATTAGCTATAAAAATCTATTATAAATAGAACTGTATTTATATTGATATAAAATTTATAAAAATATTATTTAAAAATATCCTAAATAAAAAAATATATGTATATTATTTTAAAAATAAAATAAATTAACCAATCACAAAAGAACAATAATATATCAAAAAAAAATAACATAAAAAACATTTAAAAAAATAACAAAAAAATTTAATATAAAAAGAAGTCCGAGTCAAAAAAACGACCCAAACTCTGGGTCGGGGTCGCGACGTTTGAACAACATAATAATGAGCCCCTCGAAAAAAATAGTAACCTAACTTAATATTCTAAATAATTAATATTAAGTATAAATTATTACCTTTTTTGAAAAATATAGCCAGGTTTATATATTGAATATATTTTCTATATTTTAATTAGGTTTAAAATAATAAAAAATTAGAGTAAAAAATAAAAAGATAGGTAAATTTAGCACTTAAATAAGATAAAATAGGCCATTATGAAGTAATAATTAAATCTTTATAAGCAAATATCGCAAAATTGAAAGAGCTGTACCGTCATAAAAATTAAAATTTTTTTAATTTAGTTTTTATTTTTTTATATATTGAAAATAAATAAGTTATTATTATCCACTTTTAGCTTAAAAATATTTAAAAACTGGAGGAAAGCAAAACAATTCTAGACCAACATTAAAATCCTAAAAACCCCGAAATATTTTATGTTTTTTTAAATATTAAAAAACATTACTGCCATAAGGAATAATTTCTTTTTAAATTTGAAAATTTAATTTAATGTAACTATATAAAAACAAAAATTTATTAAACTTGTAGCGGTAGTGGAACGATATATTTTTTCGCAATGATTGCATTTTTTGTGTGATTTATTTGGACTATAATTATAATTTGATTTAATATTGAAACTACTATTAATCGCAGAAGAATTTAAATCCTGTTCTATTAGTGAATCCGAAAAAGGCTCCATCTAAAATTATAAATATATTAAAATAAAGGTTATAATTGCATAAAATCGAAATAATATCATAAAGATTTATGGTTATTGATTAACTTGATTTTCTCTATCATCTTGAGTTGACCTTGCTGGCGTAGAACTTGAACTTTGAGACATCACACTAAGAAAAGTTTTATATAAAAATAATATTTAAGAAATGATTTAAATTGGACAACTTTTATTAATAAAATTTATGTTAATAATATTAAATTATAATTTTAAAAACAAAAAATGAATAAAATAAAAAAATTTAGATTTATACCCCTAAAAATAATAAAAAAAAATTTGGAAAGTTAAAAAAATGATTATTAATCATATCCCTATCCCTAACAATGAAGAAAAGAAAAAATCTCAACAAATTTGCCGTCTAGCTGGCACCACTAAAAGTAAAATAAAATATCTTTTATAATTTTAGAATTTAAATAGTCACTTCACTTCCATATGGAATTTTTAAACTAATAAAACAATAAATTTTTTAAATAAGTATTTGCGATTCCGGATGCATTTTTTCAATTAAAATATGAATTTTTTTAAATATAATTTAATAATTTAGGCGAGCCATATTTTTCATAAATGTAGTGTTAAGTCGAGTTTTTTTAAGTCGTACTGTAATTCTGAGCGTTTTCCGTACCTTTGCATGTTGGCTAAAGATTTTTTGTCGCAGCAAAGTACATCCGTTGAGAGCGAGCGTGTCTTCTCAAGAGGGGTGGACACCGTAACAAAGAAAAGAAATCGCATGGCCTCCGAAACACTTAAACAGTGTTTATGTTTGATTCATGGGATATCAATATCATGAATAATAAATTTTATACATAATTTTTATATCTATATATATTGTTAAATTAAATTTTTTGTACATTAATAAATATATATAATTTAAATAAAAATATTTAAACTATAAATGTATCAAATATTTAAGATGATTTGAGCTTAGTATTCTTGTTTCAGGCTGTTGTTTTTTATGAATACTGGAGAATATTAGTGTTTTAATATTATTTGACTAAATTGATAACTAAAATAGTTTTTGATATTAAGATTTAGAATTTTGAACACTTGAGAAAAATTACAAATTAAAATTGATACTGGGATTAACTTTGAACCATGTTATAAAGCGCTATACTTTTTTTCAGGCGTTAATTATTCACTATTTTATTAAGAAGAATATTATGAGAGCAATTTTTCTCATAGATTATATAAAGGTATAGATATCTATTATCGTAATTTCAGGATTAGTCAATATTTTTCTTGCTAAATAGGCTTATAACGAGAGATTTTAAATATTAAATGCATATAAAAATTATTAAGATATATTTATAATTAATTCCAAAATCTTAATCCTTTAAATTAATAATTATAAATCTACACAATCTAGTTTTCCAATATAATTTAAAATGTCATCGATAGAGATTGATATAAAAGATATTGGTGCAGATAATATATACAAAGTTATTTCTCTGTACAATGATATGTAATTTCCTTCATGAAATATCGCATAAAATTTATTCTCGAAAAAAAAACAAGGTATAAATATCATTGTAAGATGTGCCAAGTAAATTTTATCCTAACTAGAAACTTCAAAGAGGAAATATTTTAATATCCTTAAACTTAAAAATATAATATGAATAAAACATAGATGAGTTTATGTGATAGTTGATTTTCTGACCCAGTCTATGACAATAACATATTTAAGAATTTTTTTATAAATTAAAATTACAAGAAATATATTAGCATCTCATTTTATCACTCAAAAATTATTATGTACCTTACTACTCGTATATATAATAACATTTTTTGTCCCTTATCTATGATACTTCCTCACTGATATTTTAATTTAACATGTTTAGGATATATATTTTTAGTTATTTGCTTTAAAAAAATTGGAAAAAGTTTAAAAATAACGATTATGACAATTGTCACCTATCTATGATACATCCTCACTGAATTTTTAATTTAACATGTTTAGAATATATATTTTTAGCTATTTTCTTTAAAAAATGTTAAAAATAGCGATTATGAAAATTGTCACCTATCTATGATACATCCTCTTAAATTTTTAATTTAACATGTTTAGAATATATATTTTTAGCTATTTCCTTTCAAAAAATTTGAAAAAGTTCAAAAATAGCAATTATGACAATTGTTACCTATCTATGATACATCCTCACTGAATTTTTAATTTAACATGTTTAGAATATATAATTTTAGCTATTTCCTTTAAAAAATTTGAAAAAGTTCAAAAATAGCGATTATGACAATTGTCACCTATCTATGATATATCATCACTGAATCTTTAATTTAACATGTTTAGTATATATATTTTCAGATATTTCCTTTAAAAAAATTTGAAAAAGTTCAAAAATAGCGATTATGACAATTGTCACCTATCTATGATATATCTTCACTGAATTTTTAATTTAACATGTTTAGAATATATATTTTTAGATATTTCCTTTAAAAAAATTTGAAAAAGTTCAAAAATAGCGATTATGACAATTGTCACCTATATATGATACATCCTCACTGAATTTTGAATTTAACATGTTTAGAATATATATTTTTAGCTATTTCCTTTAAAAAAATTTGAAAAAGTATAAAAATAGCGATTATGACAATTGTCACCTATATATGATACATCCTCACTGAATTTTTAATTTAACATGTTTAGAATATATATTTTTAGCTATTTCCTTTAAAAAAATTTGAAAAAGTTCAAAAATAGCGATTATGACAATTGTCACCTATATATGATATATCCTGACTGAATTTTTAATTCAACATGTTTAGAATATATATTTTTAGCAATTTGCTTTAAAAAAACTCAAAAAAGTTCAAAAATGGCGATTATGACAATTGTCACTTATTTATGGTACATCTTCACTGAAATTTTGATTTAACATGTCTACAATATATATTTTCATCTATTTCATTTAAAAAAGTTCAAAAATAACCATCATAACAAATGGCTCTTTTCTATGGTGCATCTTCACTTAAAAATTTTAAAAAATAACTATGATGAATAGTTAATCCAGAGCATTATAATTTAAAGAAGCTTTAAGTAACTTTCCCGCCTATAATATTAATATATACTAAATGTTATTTGACTTTTGGTCGAAAAAAATGATCTAGAATTGGGTTAGGGGTGAAAAAAAGCAACCCTAACTTTAAGTCGTCTTTAAAAAAAAGATCCATATTTTGGGTCGGATTGAATAAAACGACCCGATGTTTGAGTCTGAGTCAGAAAAACGACCCAAACTTTGAGTTGGAGTCGAAAAATACGACCCAAACTTCAAGTTTGAGTCAAAAAATACGACCCAAACTTCAAGTTTGAGTCAAAAAATACGACCCAAACTTCAAGTTTTAGTCGAAAAATACGACCCAAACTTCAAGTTTGAGTCGAAAAATATGACCCAAACTTCAAGTTTGAGTCGAAAAATACGACCCAAATTTCAAGTTTGAGTCGAAAAATACAACCCAAATTTTGAGTCGGAGTCGTAAAAAACGACCCATATTTTGGGTCGAGGTCGTTTTTTTCGGCTTGGACTTGGGTCGGAGTCGAAAAAAACGACCCATATTTTGGGTCGAAGTCGTTTTTTTCGGCTTGAACTCGGGTTGAAGTCGTAAAAAACGACCAAAACTTTGAGTTAGAGTCGAAAAAAACGACCCAAAATTTGGGTGAGCTGCGTTCGAGCCGACTCGGCTAAGCCGATTAACAACACTACTTATAGGTGCCGAAAAGTTGTGTAGCAACATAACTTCGGTTATCCTCCTATTTAATTCGATACTCTGACGCAAATCTCTACCCGCTGAAATTTAAATACATTGAGACTTTCATGATGAGTTTAAAAGTTATACAATTTCTTATTACAAAATTCAATCTATTATTCAGTGTTTATCTGATGATATAAAACAAGAATTGACATTATCACCTCCTTGGCAGAAGGAAGATTTTATACTACATACTAAATTTAAACTTAAATCTTTAAATAATGAAGAAAAAGAAAGTTAATATTAGAAATCTTGCACAAATATATCTATCAATTTGTAGATAATTGGAACAAATTATCAGATGAAATTATTATAGCTATATTTAATTGGCTTCCTAAAACATTTTTATGCAAAATATCTTTAGTTTGTCACAGATTTTATATCTTAAGGTTTATTATACTTTATATATAAATAAAAAAAATGTTTTAGTCATGATGAGAGCCTATGGCAGTCAATTGATTTAAGTAATAAAAAATTGTCAATATCTACTATTATACATTTAATTCATGTGGGATTGAAAATTATTAAATTATCACATACTGAAATAACAGTAATATTAAATTAAATTCATATGATAATGAAGATTTAGGAAAAAATTGATTACTTACCACTATTAAATCAAGAAATATTTGTAAACACAAACAAGTAATTCATTTTTAAGTATATTTTATTATAATCATTGATACTGATCAAAGCTTAAAACAATTTGTCTAAAATTTATAAAAATTCATTAGCCATAATAAAACTTATAGAGTTGCCCCCCCCCCCCCAACAAAGATAATGTCCAAAAAGCTGACCAACATTCAAATATTAGAAATATGTTTTAGGCAATATATATATAAACAGGGATCTTTCCAGATAAAAAAATTCATTTTTAGATTTTGAATATCTTTTTACCCTATTTGTATATTTCTTTAAATAAAATATTATGTTATTTGATTATTCTGAAAATAATTTGCAAAAATCTTGTTTATAGCCTATGACTATTTAAATTATTTACTCATAAATTTTATAAAGTTAAGTAGTAAATTATGTATCTATAAAGTATTCCAGAGTTAATATAAATTTGGTCAAAAACAACTAACTAGCTTGGTATTAAAATTATCCATTGGAATTTAAAATTTTAATTATCTAAAAAGTTATAATTATTTAAACTTTATAAAAAATTTTTTTTATAATGTTAATTTATTTATGAAGCAAACAGGAATTATGCAAATGAATATACAAATAAACATGTTTAAATTTAACTATTGTTCATTTTTAGGAACCCAATTATGTTTTTCTTAAAATTATTTTAAAATTTTTTAAATTCTTTTTACAACTATGTATTTAATAAAAAACGATTAAAAATTACCTTTATTTAATTGTGAAAGAATCAGAAATTTTCCTATCTTATAATAAGTGTTTATATTTAAGACTTTAGAGTTATCAGTATTCAACATTCACATTTGTAACATATAAAAAGAAAAAATAGTATGATAAAATTTATAATATTAAAGCTTTTACCAAAAAAGTAGGCATCAGATATTTCCAAAACTGGGAAAGATGCAGGATTTTTAAACATTAGACATACAATTTTTAAAGATATTATCTATATTTGGGGGTAATTTATAAATTTTGTGAACAGTAGTAGGGATTAAAGATCACCATTAAAGGAAAATATTTTGTAGATAGGGTATAAACTTTCAAAGATCATGATATCTGAATTTTTTTTAAAATGCCGATTTTTTGTTTATAAATTTTGTGAGTAGTGTTGGGATTAAAGATCTCCAATCTGGGAAAACATGCAGAGTATAACATTTGCTCAAAAATAAAAAAAAAATTAAAATAAGAATCTGAAATTTTTTGAGAATGCTCAAACTGAATTTATGATCAAATTTTATCTATAATTCCAAATTGTAAAAAATCTTTTAAGTATAAATCATTTATGATTTATATATATTAAAATATTTCTTGATGAAATCAAGGAGCATATAAAATAAAATATGAGCACATAATAGTAATTTAATAGTAGAGAATTCTCAAACAGGATCCAGCTTTCAAGAGCCCAAGAATTATGCTCAACATCTTCAAAAGATATTTTGTCTAAATTTATAAGTAAATATTTTAAAAATCTGTAATTTGAAGACAATAAAATACAACTTTTGTGATAGCAATTTTTAAATTTTCCATCTATTTTTATCAATAAAATTTAACGATTTAAAATATTTAACAACCAGTAGTTATCTTCATTTATGGTAGTTGAAATTTTAAAAAAATCAATACATTTAAAAATACAAGGATTTCTTATTCATCTACCATAATGTATAATAAATATGAGCACATAATAGTAATTTAATAGTAGAGAATTCTCAAACAGGATCCAGCTTTCAAGAGCCCAAGAATTATGCTCAACATCTTCAAAAGATATTTTGTCTAAATTTATAAGTAAATATTTTAAAAATCTGTAATTTGAAGACAATAAAATACAACTTTTGGTGATAGCAATTTTTAAATATTCCATCAGATGATTTTTATCAATAAAATTTAATGATTTAAAATATTTAACAACCAGTAGTTATCTTCATTTATGGTAGTTGAAATTTTAAAAAAATCAATACATTTAAAAATACAAGGATTTCTTATTCATCTACCATAAAATATAATATTAATTACTACTCAATTTTATAAACTATTTCTAAAATTGAAAATAAATAGATAAAATACTTCATTCATGAGAACTCTGAAGGCTATTCAGATATTGTATTTAGTTTAGAGTTTGATACCAACTTATAGCATTGCACCTTTTCACAAAATGTGATAGCTTTATTATATAAAGGATGTATAATATTAAATTTTTCATATTATTTTTTGGAATGTTCTGGGAAAGTGCACAATACTTCCCTTGCTTCTATGTCTTCATCATTGGCAAATACCCTTTTTTTATGTTGCTGCCTATGCCATCGCAGGCACTTTTGCCATATGTCAGCAAAAAATAGCATTCTGTGTAAACACCAATCGATTATGGTAACAAACATCAATGAAATTTTTCCTATTCTTATATTGCGCTGCTGAACCATCAGAAAATTAATGAATTTTTTCTGGTGGAGTGTCGATTTTTTTTAAAAAAGGGATCAAATGCAATTGAAATAAATCATGAATTAAGAATACATACTATGTTTGGTTGAGTCAGCCATAGCATAACTTAAAGTGTTTAGATTCTTTAAAAGGTTTGAGCATTTATATTTAAACATTATAAATAATTTTAAGAAAAAAATAATTATAGGGAAATATGTTTCATTAAATATATAACAAAAGTGGGTAAAGAAACAAAAATTTTATATTAATTTATGAACATAATGGACTTAAATAAAAGAAAGCAATTAAATAAGCTTAAACTTCATGTTTAAAAGTATTACAATGTTAGAAATTAAATTTATTTAAAAAATCACAAATTATTTTAAAAAATTGATCTTATAAAACTTTAATTTTAACTTAAAAAAGTGAAAGCAATTAATTGAGCTTAAAATCATCTTTAAATTATTAAAAGAGAAATTATTAGAAATTTAATTTAGTATGATTAAAAATCACAATTTTTTTGACCTTTTTCGAGAAAGATTAAGTATGATTTTTGATTAAATTTTGTAAAAATTGTGTTTTTTATGCATAAAATCTTTTATGATGATATTAAACATTTTAATCTTCGGTTCTTCAATTATCTTTGTTTTTCATATTAAGATATTATATATGAAAAAGTTTGGAATGCAATCTATTATGTAACCATTTATTTCGATAAAAATATGATATATACTATGAAATTTTATAATAACCGGTAAAAATTTTGACACAAATTTAAGACCCGTTAGATATATTTCTAGGCCAGGCCTGATAATTTTTTTTAATTTGCCTTGCTCAATAAGTATATTAGGTCATGAAGATTATACTGCAAAACTCAACCTGCAAACCCGTGGTGTAAATTATTAATTCTTATTTTCGAGGTAGGTCGGATATAAAAAATTTCGGATGGATCATGTTTGGAAATATATTGTTTTTATAAATTTAAATGGTGATATAAATAAATATAGTTTGAATTACATTTTACATAATTTCTTTTATTTTAGATTATTTCTTACAATATCCTAATTAATCAGTTGTACTTAATAAATTTAAATGTTGTTGCATGCAATTATAGGAGTTAGTAAAATCATGAGGAATAAAACCATTTAAGAGCTGAATAATATTTCAATAAATTATCACAACACTGTAATTTCTTTTAACAATAAGTAAGCCAATAAAAGGTGACTTAAATAATATAATTTCATGATATTAATGCTAGAAAATCTTATTATTTTTGTTAAAAATTTTAAACAAAAATGCATTATTTTATAAAGGAGAGCCATCTATTTTTGAAAAAAAAATCATTTTTTCGCAATAACTAAAAAACCCATGGCCTTCCCATTTAATTTACAAATAGTAAGTGAATAAAAAATATTAAATTCAAAGAAATTCGGAAAGCGAAACATCTGGACCTTTCAGGTGCAAAATCTATAAGATAAAGAAAACCACCTCAAAATTATTATTTTAAAATATAGTTTAATATTTACTAAGCCTTTAATACAAATGACACTGAATTATTTTTATATTTTTTAACTTATATTATTTTTCGAAAAAAAGTCATTTTCGGCATATTTGTTTTTCAAAATTAAAAAATCAGGCCGAAAAGTTATCGATTTGGTATAGAAGTAACCATATCTTACTTACATTAACCCTTCTTTGCTTACCAATTTTTAAATTTAAAGGGGGTCGAAAAATCTCATTTTCTTGCTCATTTAACAAATTTTTTGAAAATTGACTATGGTTAGGTTTTTCGAGCAGACTTCTAAAGATATGATGGGAAATATGCATGGAGGAGGATGAGGCTAAGAAATGTAATTCGATAGAAAATTATGATTAAGATGCGAGATAGCATCTTGAATAGTGATAAGGGTAATTGCAAGGCGTATTCTTGGTAAATGATGAATGACAGAGTTTTATTTTAGAATTAATTCAGATTTAAAATGAAACAAAGCATAAAGGAATGACAAAAGACGTAAAAATAATAAGTTAATCAAAATTAACCTAACTAATGGTAGATGATCGAAGGAGTTATAACACCATTTCAAATAAAGATTGAGATTGACATTACAAAATTGTAACATTTACCAAGTTAAGTAGGAGAACATTTATCAAAAATCTGTGACATAGATTAAAATTATTTCTAGAATATTTAAATTCTAGCTATATTTTTCAGAAATTTGATGGCTACAAAGATTTTTCTAGCTGAATTTTTTTTAAAATATCCCAACTTCTATTAAAATTATACAAATGATGTTCGGTCAATGGGAGATCTTAGTGGATATAGTTTTTTAACCAGTTAGTCACTAGTTGCCGAAGATTAGATTAAACTGCATCACTTTTCCTTGCCTAAGAGATACATAATTAATCCTTGAAAACTTAACTAAATAATATATCACTATTTTAAATATAATTTGATAATTTCCTCATTATAGAATCAATAAAATAACACACTTGGATTTGAGCTTTAGTTCCATATCTTCCAAAATTTTAAACAATATATTAGAAAACCAAATTTCAATCACTCATTTAAGTTTAGAAGATCTAAAATTGGATGAAGAAATAACCAAGTTTACATTTTTTTAAATTACACATAGAATTTTAGATTTAGCTTGTACACGAAATATAATTTACAAATTTTGAACTTATCACGATGCCAAAATCTTAGTTTTAATATAATTCAACGAATTCTTTTAGCCTCTGATAGGTTAGATTTATTTCATATATAACATATGTTATATTTAATAGAATTGTTGAATTAAATTTGGCATGGACAAATTTAAACACAGAGGATTTACAAAACATTTGTCGATACTTACCAAAATCATTAATAAAATTAAATTTAAGCGGAAATAGAGAAACATTAAACGATGAAGGTTATTAATACATATTTTTTATATAAACTTTTTAGACATTAAAGTGATTACCGAAAATTGTATAAATATTCAAGAATTAGACCTGAGTGATTGCAATCAATTGTCGGATTCTTCCATAGTTTACATAACAAAAAATTTGCAAAATCTAAAAATTCTTGCTCTAAGTCGGTGTTATAAAATTGATCCTAATATTTTTTTGTAAGATATTATATATATATAATATTCATCAAAATGCGAATGAAATTTTGCCAAGAATCTCAATTTTTAAATTTTTGAAGGGGTATAGATCTAAATGTTAAATTTATATTGATATAAAATTGTCTGCTTGATTTTGCAAAAATATTACATATGGGCTAATATACCTGATTGATATGAACTAGTGTTAGTGCACGTGTATATATGAATGATATGAGATGACTATTATGATTAGATTATATTTCATTAATAAATTCTTTTCTGGCTACATTTGACTTAAACTAGGGTTTATAACAAGTTAACTATATAATAAAGTTATTTTAACATTGCCAATTTGGCTCTGTTCTGTAAAGAGGAGTCAGAAGTGTCCTTAATGAATTTAAATAACTAGGTCTATTATAACGTTCAAAAAAATATATTCTTGCTTGATTATTATAGACTTCTATCTCCTTGTCGAGATGGGCCGAAATATTATTCCCAGGGGTCCTTTCCACCCATTTACATAACCCAAAATATCAATTTTAAATGTTTTTTATGTAATATAGTTCTAACTTATTTTGATCGAATGTTGATATTATTATAGGGTTCTATAAATTTTACCAACCACAAACCATTATTTTGATATGATATCAAAATGGTAAAATATATAAAAATTCAAGCGAACTATAATGAAGACTAGAAAAAAGGTAGTTCTTGGGAATTTTATTCAGCTTTAGCTAAAATAATGAAGAATTATATTCCTAATGAATGAAGAAAGTATGGGTATAGAAAATTTAATTAATAGTGCTAAAATTATCCCCAAATACTAATATTTAAATAGTTATTGAAAAAATGGATTTATCATATTTAAGTTTATGATACGCCGCCGTTTATTGAACTCTCGTCGATACATTTCTTATATTCACCGCGTACGACCGGCGCATAAATTTTTTTTGCATTTTTTTAACCATTATTCATTTGGGTTATGCCGATTCACAAATTTTTTACCGATCCGATATTTTCCGATATTCGTTCAAAACCGATCTGATATTTATATTGATTTTTTTTACCATCAACCATTGAACCAAATGTAAAAACAATATTTTCTATGGAAATGCATTTAATTTAATATTTTTCTACAAATAAGACTAATATTATATTATAATAGCAGTGTTATTAAAGTTGCTTGCTGCTAATTTAGAAAAGCTAAGTAGCGCGCTAATCAACTTTCAATTTTATATAATAAATACACATAAAAATTAAAATATATTTATAATTAATTCTAAAATCATAATCTTTTTTAATTTAATTTAATTTTGAAATTTATATTTAGAAATATGCATTATATATCTAATCATCAAACACGACTAATAACTTCAACTTGAGAAAACATTTACAGGTATTATATCAAACAATCCTTAATCTTTAAAATATAATTTAAATCAAATCTGTATCCATAATAATTTTAGCGCTAGATGAGTTTATGTGAAAATAGAATTTATTGCTCAGTCCAAACATGGTATGTTTCAACTGGCCATAAGATATTATAAATTATTATCTTAATTATCTAGATGTTAGGAACTGCTATTGTTTACCCTAGTTTCAAGTTGAATTGGCCAAATATTAAATATATTAATTGAATAAATCCAACGGGAAACTTGATAGTATTTTTTATATAATATAAAAAGAATAATTGCTACATTACTGATTAAATATAACATATTTTCTAATTCTAGTTATTAAAATAAGGCGTTATATGATTCATTATCAAATTAAGGTCACAATTCTTATTTATTGACATACCAATTACTAGCTATAATATAAAATGGAGGCGGGGGGGAGGATTAAAAGAAATGTGATAAGTGGGCTTCCATTTTTCCATTCTATCTAATCCCCTCTTCTTTTCTTTACATCCTCTCAAGTTAGTTCCATTATCTATCTCCCTAAACTTCTTATTCGCAACTAGGAAATATTATTTGGACGCGGATGTCTAGCATGAATATGTATCGAATGAAGAGATTGAAATAAATGTGTCAAACATTGTATATTTAGAATAGTGGATGATTAATTTTAATACCTATATGAGATAAACAAATAAATAATATACACTTATGAAGAGTAATGAACTATGGTATTTTATATGAAACCTTTGCACACCAAAGATAAGATTTTATTAAAATAGAATAAATGTAATCAGATATTCCTTTTATAATTTTTTGACAACCCTTCTCTAGATTTAATACATACACCTAATATCTAATATATTTTTTTTAGTCGCGAAAGCGGCTGGCTATTAAATCTTAGCTATTAAAGAATCTTACAATATTTTTCTAAGCATCATTTCAACCTTTTTTAAATTTAAAAAATAAACTTTTATATATAAGTAATAATTAGGCCAAACTATAAGACTAATAATTGGAATAATAATCCTTGAAAAACGATTAATTAAAATATAAACATCTGCAAAAAGTATGATTGAATATAATTTAGAAATTTTATGCCAAAAATATCTAGTTTATAGATACATCGCTATTTAGTTTTTAAATATTAATCATATATTCACGATCATGTATATAAAATCGATTATATTATCATGAATTTAAGAATTTATTTGGCATAAATAAAATGGATCCCTTATAAGCTTTTTATTAGTTGGTAATCTTGTCGATATCAACTTGTATATTTTATTAGCCCTCTCATATCCAGGCATGCCATGTCTCCCCCCATCATTGGGAGACTCCCGCAATTTATAGTTTACACGCAGACATCTCTCCCGCAAAACTACCGCAATTGGAAATATCCCGCAAAAATCTACCGCAATTTTTTAATTTCTCCCGCAATTTTTTTAAAAGTATTTTAACGTTTTTAATATATAAATAATAATTTTGAGAGACATTAATTGATTATTTTTATATTTTAAAATAAATTTTAAATATTTATTCGAAAAACATGTCTAGTTTGTAAATATCTTTCTATCCTGTTTTATTTTTATCAAATAATAAATCTTTCATTCATATAAGTCAGTACAGGGGAGTATATATTGCAATACAAAAATATTCTCAAAAATAATAAATAATACAGATGCAACTACATTTGCGGAAATTGTATACATCTATCATGAAGTTCAACATTCACAGAGCTTCATCACAATGTGGGTCGAATCATTTTCTCATGATATTTAAAGACTCCAATATAAGTGCAAACCTTACTTGTGGCAGAACAAAAATGAGCAAGGCTATCACAAGTGTTTTAGTACCTGAATCCTAGAGGTCAATTCTAGACGATTTGAAAGATGGGCATCCATATGCAATTCTAACAGATGCATCTAATAAGGGAAATATAAAACATTTCCCCCTTCGCTATTTCAACAAGAATAAGAACATTTCAATAAAACTGTTGAAATTTTTTCCTCGGATAGTGAAAAATCCAACAATGTTGCTAGCCACATAATGGTAAATATAGCTGATTCAGGATTATTCAGCTTTCTGCGCTGATAATGCCTTTGTAAATTCTGGCAAAAACCAAAGTTACCGAATTGAGGCAGCATAATAATGAATTAAACCAATTGGCTGTATATACTACATAATTCTTGCAAGATGGCAATGAATGTACTATTTGTGAATGTCGAAATAATTGTGATGAAATGTTTTAACGAAGTTCATCAACTAAAAGAGTTAATGAATTAAAAGAGTTGGTGAAGTGGTCTGACTTGGAATGGTGTGAGTTGTTGCGATATATACCTATCAGGTGGTTGTCATTAATACCTGTCATCGATAGAATTTTAAAATTTTACAAACTTAAAAAAACTTATTAAATAGAGATTTTAAAAGCTGTAAAATTTTGAAAAATTTTTTCGAGTATGAAATGGCAGAAGCATATTTGGGATTCGTTTCACATGTAGGAAATCTACTTCATGCAGTTAATATTCAGTTGCAATCAGAATATTCTTTATAAAAAAGATTCATAAAATCATGCTACAGCTCTGTTCATCTCTACAGTTAAAAATTGATAATAAATTTTATGGCGCTATTGCTAAAAATATTATATTAAAATGTTCAAATAATACTCTAATTAATACATTTTTAAATGAAGCAGATATTTTTATTAAGACAATTTTAGAATATTTACAATCAAAATTTGTTTTAATAACTCTATTTACAAATGTATAAATATTATGACCTTGGATCAGAAATCATCAATTGATGGTTTTTATAATTAATAAATATATTAAAAATACCGAAAGACATTGATTTCTTGTTTGAGGAGAAATTCTCTATATTTTATGATTCGCCAAAATATTTAAAGTTAGATGGTCTAAAAGAAGAGGAGAAATGTGTAGAATTTTTTCGTAATAACGATAAATCCCCATGCTTGGAAAAAATATGCGAGTATTTCTTCTCCTTACCTCATTCTAATGCCTCATCCGAGCGCATTTTTAGCCTGATGAGGATTGCTTGGAAAAAGGAGAGAAATCGGATTGCTTTAACAACATTAGAGGCCGAGTTAATCATTAAACAAATATATAATATGTCATGCCAGTAATTTTATAAATATCTCAATTAGAGATCTGCAAAGTTAGGTCCGACCGTGCCCGGCCCGAACGGGCTTCGTTCGGGTTCGGGCCTAATTATATTTAAAATAATTGGATTCGGGCCGGGCCTAATATTTTTTTAAAAAATCAAACCGGGTCGGGTCGGATCTTGAAATTTTTTTTAAATATATCTAAATTTATCAATTTTATATTGAATTTTTTATGTAAAATAAAAATTTTTGATTTTATTTATTGAAACTAAACGCCATATAACATGCCTTTTTTTTGAGTAATTATAAAAATTAATTTCTATATTTAAATAAATTCTGGCCGGGCCGGTTAATTATCTTAAAAAATTCAGGTTCGGGCCGGGCTAGCAAAACTTTTTAAAAAGATTTCGGGCCGGGTCGGCATAACCATTTTAAAAAAATTTCGGGCCGGGCTTGAAAAATTAGGCCCGATGCAGATCACTAATCTCAATATCGACGGTAAACATTTAGTTCTATTATTTAAATCTCAAATAAAATATAATTAAGTTTTAGCAATGTCGCCATAAAATTTATTGTCAATTTTTAACTGTAAAGATGAACACATCTGCAGCATAATTTTGTGAATCTTTGTTAAGATTCTTCTGATTGCAACCACACATTAACAGCATGTAGTAGATTTCCTACATGTGAAATCATTCCTAAATATACCTTTTCCATTCATTGAAAAAAATTTTCAAAATATTAGGACAGCTTTTATAATTTTTTTAAAGGTTTATAAAATTTTAAAATTCTGATGGCTGGTATTAGGAACATATCGCAACCAACATTGTGCTGACTCAATTCTGTAAATACACTCTGTTTTTACCAAATTCACTGAGGCATTATCAGATCAGAAAGCTGACATGAAATTTATTGTTAATCTCGAATTTGCTATATTTACCATTATATTGTTAGCTATGTCTTTGGATTTTTCACTATTTGAGGGGAAAAAATTTAATAGTTTTATTGAAACGACCTTAATTTTATGAAATAGCGGATGATCAAGGGAAATATTTTAATATTTCCCTTATTAGATCATCTGTTCAAATTGCATATGTATGCCCATTTTTCAACTCGTCAAGAATTGACCTCCTGGATTTAGATCCTAAAACATGATAGCCTTGCTCATTTTTGTTCTACAAGTATAGTTTTCATTTATATTAAAGTCGTTAAATATTATGGGAAAATGATTCTTCCAACATTGTGATGATAAGTATATCTGTGAATGCTGTACTACAAGATAAGTGATTATAATTGTCGCAACTATAGTTTCATCTATATTATTTCTTATTTTTGGAGTACCTTATTATGTATTTAAAGTGATACGTGATAATTAAGCGCCTATTCCTATAATGTTATACACACACACGGTAGATTTCCAATTGCGATCGTTTTGTGAGACATTCGCATAAAATATATTTTTAATTGTAAAATTAAAATCGTTTTTTTATATAAAATTCTATCTTGTTTACATTCTTTTATATTTAAAAAAGATCATTGGTTTTTTAAAATATATTTTAATAAATCAAGATGTTATTTTATTTTGAAAAATAGTTACCGACTTTGTATTTATATAAACTAAATAAAAAATAATAGGCGGATAATTAAGTCAATCAAAAATATTTTTTTTAGCATTTTTATATTTCTACCGCAATTTTTATATTTCTCCCGCATAATACCAAATTTATCCCGCAATTTGAAAATTTTGACCTGGCAACCCTGCTCATATCTCAAGACAAGACATTTCTTTTATCCCATGAGGATTATATTCATGAATTTGTGGTAGATGTATCATCCAAAATAATTACCACTCCAAATTATTGACATTTTTAATATTTTTATCAAGTTGATCTCCAAAATATATTATCAATAATAATAAAATTTTAAAATGATTAGGATATTATTCGTATTATATCTTAAAAATATTCTATTCATTTAGACAACTCAAAGTTTTGACGAAATTGAAATATTTGGACATTTTTAATCTTCTAAATCAAACCGGTGTTCATCAATTAAAAGAAGCCCTTATCAAATTTGGACTCTGCATTGAAATAAATTACAATTATTTTTCAACTATTGCTCGACCTACAACTGGTATAAACAGAACTACTATTTGGAAAAAAAGAACTAGGGATTTAATATGTTAAATTTTATCCGTCAAATCAATTTGATATATTATTAATAACCTGTTTTATGAATTATTTTGATTGGTTATTAACTTTTTTATAACTATTTTACAAAATTTAAATAAAAAAGCTTTTTTTGCCAAATCGTTTAATCATATTTTGAGCATAAGTTTTTAAATTCGAATCATAATTTTTGAGATATTTATTTATGGCAAACTAGTTGCGATATGAGGATACCTTTTAATAATTTTTAAGACTGACATTTTTATTAATTTTTAAACCAATTGTCATCTGCAAGACCATTTATATGTCTTTTTCGCCAGTGTAATTTATTTTGAACTGCATACATTTACAATGTTTCTTTTGACATTAATTTGCTACCTTGAATATTTATGAAAATGGAAAAAATTTCAAAATACGATTTGAAAGATAATATATATATTTTGATAAATTTTTTGCAAAAACTATGAGACTTTAAATTTTTCATTCGAATCAGTAACATTCATTATCTAATATTCTCTTAAGTTTTTTAGAAATTCTGGCTCTAAGTCAACAAAATTAGTAGTCTCTTTAATTCAATGATTTATCATCTCTTATTGATTCCAATATTTTTTAGAAATATTTGTTATATAATTAGCTATTGAGTTGATATTATATTCCTATATCCGATACATTTTTTTATTGATCAGTATCGACAATATTAACGCCTAGGAACTATATTTTGATATATCGGCAGAGAAACATCGATCATTTTTATCTTAAATGATAGTTAATATTATTTTACCTAAATAAATTAAAAATAATTTAGATTTAAAACAAAATCTTGAAAATATTTTACCACAAAGAATTAAAATTTTGCCATTTTTAATAATTTCCCTAATATTAAACAATTATTTATAAAATATATTACTACCATTCTTTCCAGCACCCTAGTTCAACCCTTATTCAACGTTGCTAAAAAAATTTACTGATAAAAAGGAATGTGTTGGTAAAAGCTTTGAAAAGGTTTTATGCTAAAACCAAATAATAATATTTAGTATTAATGTTAATTTGTAAAGTAAATATTTTATTTATGCTATTTTTAATAGATGTATTTGTTAATTATTAACAATATATTTCCAAAAATGAATCGAAAAATATCTATGCTTTTTAGTATCAATTACCTTTATAGAATGCATTTACGAAAAATATAGTATCAATATCAACGGACTTTTAGCATTTATATTGGTACCAGCGAGCCTATTTATATTCATATCCGTACATGTTTCGATACTTTTTAAAATAATCGCTTATAAGCTCGGATTTTACATTGATTTGCCTACGAAATTAATTTAATATTTTTGTTAAATACTGGTTTCTTTGTATTTTCATCATAAATGTGTATAGAACGAATTGGTTTACAAGATTCTCCACTTTCTCATCTTGATCTGGCAACTGCTGAATAATGTTATCTTATTATTTATTTTCTATCTTAATGTTGAAGTTGAGATAAATTTACATGTTTAATTTATGTTAGAAAAAAGTTAAATAGCCTTAGAATAACAATCAAATTTTATTTTTGGCATAGGTGTCTAAATAGATTTTTTCTCTTGTTCATATTTAGGCTCAATTTTTATAATCCACTCTTTTTCCCTCTTCTATTGGTTTCATTGACTTTGCAAGTTAATATTATATTTTTATTAATAACATCAAATTATGGGATAATTTATTAACATAATTAATCTTATCACCTTACAAAATCTGATAGAGGGATTGGCCCAATAGCCCCTCAATCTTTAGACGATTATGCCAAATAATATTGCTTGGTATTTAAATTTAATAAACAATATAATGTACATTATCTAAAATCCAAATTTTTTGCAGTTGATATGATAATGGCACTATTTGTGACCATCTACCTATATTATAGAAGCTTTAAATCTTATTGAGACAAAATTTTAACTTACCAGTCAATGTTAAGGGGAGACATAGGTTCAATTGTATTAAAAATCGGGGCCTTCGAGAACGCCATTCATTTTTAAACTTCTCAGTTTATTCCTAAGTAAGTCTAATCCTGAATTAAAACCGCTTAACCTTTCACCAGGTGATGGTATCACAATATGGGCTTTTGTTTTACCTTGAGTGGTGTATTGCCTAAAAACTTCTTATGGTAGGCACTATTTTTTTTTTAAATTCAAAAAATATATAAAATAGATTTTAACGATTAGAAATATGAATAAATTATTATTTATATTATATTTTAAAAACAACGTATCAAATTTAAGTCCGCCGATATACAAATTAAAATATTTATAAATATTTATCGTTTTCTTTGGGCTATATTTTTCTATAAAAAATATAAAATGGTTTATTTCTAATCTTACTATTTTGGATTTTTAAATAGAAGTTGAATTTATAAATAGAGCGACATCTGTTAATATTTACCTACATACAGAACAGAGTCTGCATGAGAATGTGAGGTAGGAGCTATTTACCTTCAATTTTTCTGAAGGGGGTAGGATAAAGTAAAATAAATACTATTTGTAGATTAAGAATAAAAACATCTGATAAAAAAAATTTTAATTTAATAAATATTTATTACTCATTCATTTACAGATAACATTTTTCTAATATTTTGAATACAGTTACTTATCACTAATTAATAAATAATGATTAATTGTTATTCCTGGCCTAAATAATCATGAGGCCTGAAAAAGTTATTATAGTTGTTTTGAGGTTATAATTGGTGGCTCATTATAAGATTTTATAACTTAATATCATAGGGTTGTTAGAGCATAATGGGTGAATAAATATCGCGGCTGAAGCCCTAAAAATTTGTTTAGAAGGGTAGAGTGTAGATTTTGGAGGGGGCTTTCTTCCAATAAATTTGTCATTTAGACGATGCTTACATAATATTTTATTATTGTCAACAACACCTAATATATTTTTAAATATCAGTCAAAATAAAAAAATGATTAATTGGCAAAAGGGCATCGAGAAATTCGATTTATTATTTCTTTCAAAGTAAAATTTTAAATTCCTATTTAAAGATCTAAAAGATTTTAAAATGGAAATTTCGTCCTGTAGTTCTTACATTTTATATTTATTGTAAGGAATTGATATTTATATTTCAAAATTCTAATAGAAATTTTATTTTCTTAAAAACAAAGCATTTAGTTTGATTTCTAATCTGTCAGAGTTTTCAAAGAAGATTAGGTAACATGTGCAAATTTATTCCTTACCTTAAAAATCAAAAAATAGTTTTCTTTACCCTCTAGGACTACTTCCATAAAATAGTAAATCAAAAAAATTTCTACCAATCAACTAATTCCAAGGGATTATATTTTTTTAGTTTAACTTTGTTTAAGCTATAAAATGGAATTTTATCATACATTATTGTTAATGGCTATTCAACTAATTCATTTAGTTATATGACAAACCGATTTAACTCTAAAGGGGTTATATGAAAAGTCATGTACTATGATAATGAAGAAGCGCAAATAAATTAAATTTCGAAATTTACAAGATCACAAAATTCAAATATCATTTTCATAATTTTAAATTATCGAGATTTATTTATTATTTAGCTTCTTGAGGTCGTAAATATGAAGATGATCGTAAATTGAATTTTTTTTTATATTAAATAAAAAAATATCTTTTACTTAACATTTTGAACTATTTAAAAGAGCTGACATAAATTTTTATGAGAAGGTGCCTGTGTCATAAAATACCCTCTAATGGGTCTCAGCGTGAGCTCATGAGGGAACAGAAAGCAAAGTATCCTGTTAAAATATTTAAAAGAATTTTATAAAATCAAGAATGAAGGGGACTGATAGTTTTATTCATAATATGATGATGAATTCTTATTTTATATTTGATACCCTTACCTAATTTTTCTTTTTTACCCCCTCTCTTCTTTTCCTCCTTGTAGCCGTTGAAAAAAAGAAGAAATAAATTTAATATAATATACTAAATGTCAGTCATTTTCTGACATAATAATTAATTTTTCCTGGGGGATGGGAGTTGAAAGGAGTGAACACAAGTTCTTTTGTGAGGAAGAAGAGATGTTCGTTTGTTAAGAAGAGACATGGAAGCTGGACTGAATCACTTCGTATTTTGTATATGGTTTTGTTAATTATTATTATATTATTGAATATTTTTGGACCTTTACAATTTAATTAGATATTATTGAATAAAGTGGACTTTTACAATGGTGCCAAATGACGTCAGGATCCAAAGTTCTGGTAACACCACGCAATTATTAACCACTATACGATGTGTCAGAAAGAGGTGAGGGGAAAATAAGATTTTGATATGAGTAGAGATTAAGGGATTTTCGCATTTTGTTTTAGATATTTGGCAAATAAGGAATATGATAGAAAGTATGTAATGAGTATTAGGGCTGAAAATAAAAATAAAATTATGAATTTATTTTATATATATAATGTATAATAATTATATATTACTTTGAAAGGGGCTTACTGTTGAGAACTAATGATATTGGATTCATTTTGGCCCATTTAAGACAATAATATTTGTGGTATTATATGTCTGAATTTACATTTTTACATCCAATGTTTGACAATAAGTATTGTCTTATTATTTGGTAAGCCTTAAGACTCATTGAATGGAGAATAGGTTTCAATCATCCGGAAAACAGACCTCATGTAATGCAGGACAAAAAAGATTGCTTAATATTTAAATGTTTAGATAATGAGCAGGGATATATATGTAAGTATAGGGTTAGAAAAATATTAAATTGGTGATTGTAAGTGTGATTAAGATATATATTTGTGTAATTGATGGTTTATGAAAATATATATGGAAGTGGATTTTTTATAATGAAATATTTGTTATATAATTATTAATTTTGGGTTTTTAAAGGGAGGGACATGTGTGAAATGGCTTATTATTAATTTACTATAGTGTGAGTGTAATTTTGGGTTTTTAAAGGTGTAGACACGTGTGAGATGACTTATTATTAATTAATGTTACTATAGTGTTATTGTTATATTATTAAGGGATCTATTGTGGGTGTGTTAATGTTGTTTATGTTGAAGTAATTAACCATATGTAATGGTATGGATTTATATGATATATTGGTATATGTTTGATATTTTTGATATATATATAAATTTGGTATGGATTTATATGATATATTGGTATAGGTTTGATATTTTTGATATATATATAAATTTGGTATGGATTTATATGATATATTGGTATAGGTTTGATATTTTTGATATATATAAATTTGGTATGGATTTATATGATACATTGGTATAAGTTTGATATTTGTGATATATATATAAATTTGGCATGGATTTATATGATATATTGGTAGAAATTATGATATTTAATTTTTTTTTAAATTATGAAATCTTTATAATTAATATATATATATTTTTTTTATATTTTAAAATTTTATAAAAATTTTTATTTGCATTTATTATACTATTTTCATTGTATATGATGAGGTGAAAGGCAAATATGTTTATGGATAAGGTCAGCCATGTCTTGATGGGTATGCCTTAAAATAGAAATATTGTTTAGTTTAAATACTTGAGAAGGTTTTTGTTTTAGAATTTTTTATTTGTAGATGTATTTTGTGTATTACATTTTTTTTTTAATCTTTGTAATAATTTTATAGCACATTACATTTTACTATGTATATTATGAACATATTTTTTTTTTTTAAAAAAATTCAGATTATTTTATATTTTGAATGTTATATTAAAAATTCTCTATATGTATACCATATAGCACATTATATTCTTAATTTTTGTTACTTTGCATTCTACATTTCTGTGAATCTGTACTAGATGTGATGGCAGGGTTAGGTAGAAATGGTATATTTTTCTTAGGATACTGAGTAATTCCTTGAAGAAAAATATTTTATTTTCTACATATTATATATTTTTCCTCCTTATAAAATATTAAATTTATGTCTATACATATTCCTTCTAATTTTGTTTAAAATCTTTGTTCGGCAAATTTTCGCAATTATTTTTAATACCTAAAAATGGATTTGTCTATCTATTTTGGATATTTATAAAAAATTTAGCTTTGTTTTTTTAAAATGACAGAAGGAAAATTATATGTTGTTGAAATTGCATTTCAAACATAAACCATTTGTTCACATTACAGTATTATATGTAAAATCATTATTTCCTAATCTCCATTAATCAGACCACGAATAATGTATAATATAACTCGTATTTTCCAGATGCATGAAATTATTATGTTTTGCTTGTATATTATATTGTTAATATTACTGTTCCATAGATTATAAATATGGATACCCCGATGTCATTATTGTTAATATGTTTTCCAGCGATTATATATTGAAATGTCCGGGAGATATTATACTATAAATCATCATAAAAGGAGACGATTCGATACAATGCCACCAGAAAGAGAGGGACGCTGGGCCTGTGAAGGGTGGGCGTGTTGTAGCCGTTGAAAAAAGAAGAAATAAATTTAATATAATATACTAAATGTCAGTCATTTTCTGACATTATAATTAATTTTTTCCTGGGGGGATGGGAGTTGAAAGGAGTGAACACATGTTCTTTTGTGAGGAAGAAGACATGTTCTTTTGTGAGGAAGAAGACATGTTCGTTTGTTAAGAAGAAAACATGGAAGCTGGACTGAATCAATTCGTATTTTGTATATGGTTTTGTATATATTATTATATTATTAAATATTTTTGGACCTTTACAATTTAATTGGATATTATTGAATAAAGTGGACTTTTACAATTTGGACTTTTACACTAACCTAAGTCCAACCCATTAAAAATGAAAAATTTTTTTAATTCGCTTTTATTTGATACCCATATCATTATTTTATGTTGATAAAAATATTCCTGATGTCCCAAGTAGAGGTCTGCAACGTGATCTTTTCGCAGCCCGAGACCGAATTATAAAAACCTTGTCCAAGCCCGATCCGAGCCCGAATTCAAATTTTTTTTAAATTTGAATATTAATATTATATTAACCAAAAATAATTAAATCATGTTTGTTACCTTAATAAGAGTTTATTTGATAGCCATAATAAAATCAATTTATATTAAATTGTATTTTATTTAAATTGAAAACATATATAATTTATTCAGTTTAATTAAAAAAGTTGAAATACAATCGAATTTAAAAATTATTGCCATATATAAAAATAATGTGCATGATATAAATCATTCATTATCAATAGTATCACATAGTGAATATTTGTTATATATAAATAATGAGAAATCCAGTTTAAACAAGTCCTCCTATCCCCAAAGGCCCTACCAGCCTCTGAAAAAAGATCTTTCACTACTAGACTAGGAAGCAGGGATCGTCAGGAATTTAAGAACAAAACACTTAAATTGGGAAAGTCGTCTTGATAAGTCTTCCACCAATTTAAGATTTGGTAAACTATTTTAAATATTGAAAATTTGAGGCTATTTAATTAAATAGATATTAGATAAATATATTTTAATTAATCTGATAGAATATGACATAAATAAAGTATGCAATAATAACACAAACATTTAATAACAAAATAGTTTGGTGAACAGATGTTATGTGAAATATTAATTGAAGATGACGTGTTATTCTGCTGACATTCTAATGATGAAATTGTGTAGATAAAAAATGCGTGTTATTTTAATTGTCACTATGCATTAAAATAATTATTTAGGATCAGGCTTTGTGTCGGACACCTCTTACAATCTGACCCAAACCCGAAAATAAAAAGTTTTTTATGTCCGAATCCAAGCTCTGGTAGGGTCGGGCTACAGCAACCCATGCATACCTCTACTCCTAATACCTAAATCCCCCCACCTAGGGTAATTATTATCATTACATTCAAAAGACTTTTTAATCACTTTTTATATAATACCCTATCAAATATTTACTTTTAATTACCCCCCCCCCCCCATCCTTCAACCCATTAAGACTAAGAGTGAATACTTTCAATCAAAAGATAATTAAATTAGATTTTCTTTGATACCTATATCGATATTTTGTGTTGATTAAAGAAAACTTTAAAAATAAATAAATAACAATAAAATTTGAGAACCAGTGAAAGCATATAACTGCTGCGATGAGAACATAGCGCTGCTGTTGCGACAAATGTTCAGTTATCATATTTAATTATGAGTTCAATTCCAATATTGCTACACTTTGTCACAAAATATAATGACAAAAGTAGTAACAAAATGTGACAATATTTTTATTTTATAATTAATTTTTTTTATTAACTATTACAAGTACTGAATGTGTTTTATTGTAAATGATTTATAATTATTTCACCCACCTATATACTAAAATCTTTTTCCCATTTATAATTTTAAAAATTTAAATTGTGAGCCAATCATATTGGTGGCGGTACGTCAAATAGTGTTTTAATTTAATTTTTACTTTAAAAATTTTTCATATTACATAAATTTATTGTAAATATTAACTTTGTCAACTACGGCATTCGTTGTTGCATGACAAAGCGCAATCTTTTTCAAAATATTTACATGCATTCTTTCTTTTAATATCTTGGCAATTTGATAATTGATTTGTGCAAAGGAGAGCTATAATATTATATTTAAAATGATATAAACAAAAGAGTCAGATATAAGATTTTAAAATAAATATATTAAATTAGCCTATCCACTAAATATAAAATACATTAAAATCTACCTTCCCCATAATTTAATCTATTAAAAACAATTTTATTTTCGCAAAACAATATTTGAAGAATGCACTATTTTTCGTATCACGTCAATACCGCGAAACATTTTTCGCAAAATGTATTATAGCGAATGCATTTCCAATATATTATTGTGAATACAATATCTACAATCCATTACATTGAATGTATTACCGCGAATGTAATATCGTGAATATATTATCGTGCATTATTGCTAATGTATAGCGAGTGCATTATTGTGAATGCATTAATGATTTATTTATATTTGACAATTGGGTTGTATAATTAATATAAAGTATTAATTTGCTGCTTGTACATTTTTTCTACTTTATAATAAGGAGTTCATCAATTAATATATTTCTATTTTTAACTATTTAGAAAACTATAATTTTGTTACCTTTTAAAGTTTTAAAATCACATTAAAATATTAAAACAGTATATAAAAATATATAAAATTACTAAATAAAATTATATATATATAATAAGCATAGAAGGAGCTTAATTTAATAATGAATAAGTACCTAAAATCAAGTATAAATGTGTTTAAAAATTTCTAGTTAAAGTTTTTGTTTAAGAAATAACGATTCGCGATGTTCGTTTTATAAAAAATTCTTCGCGGATAAAATTTTTTTAAAAAAATATGTAGACTGGAAAAAATTGCCGTTAGTTGATATGACTATTGGATTAAATATAAAGTTATTTAATTTTGAATATTTATTAATTTTTTTTATTTTCCCCGCAAGTAAGAGGGTTATTTATGAAGGAAAGGAGGAGAGACCATGATTTTTTTTACCTGCTCTAAAGATTTCTACTATATTCTAAATCATTTAGCAAGTTCAACCTTTTTCAAAAAACTAGAGATCCAGCCTAATAGACGTTTTTATATTTATATTGCGCATTATTTTTCAACCTACTTATATATTATAGTCGGCAAAATAATTATTTTTAATCAAAATTTAATTTGAAACTATTTTATGGATATTCTTGTTTTGTGTCAATTAAATTATACCATTTATGCTTTAGCAATCTATCAATTATTCACAGGCGCGTACGCAGGAATTTGGTGTGGAAGAGGGGGGGGGGATTAAATTCTTTTAAAATAAATTCATTGTTATTTAAAAATATCAAGCATAAATTTTTTTAGGACTAGTAACTATTTCTAATACAAAATTTTAAATTAATGTGAATTATAAAAAATAAATATATAAATCGGCATATAGAAAACTATAAAATAATGTGAATTAAAAAAATATTAAACGGATATGACCGACGGCATATAAAAAACTACAACATAAATGTGAATTATAAAATATTAAGTGGATATAACCAGCATATAAATCACTATAACATAAATGACCCAAAATAGAAATTTAAATTTTTTGAGCCTTTAAAATTTATATATAAAGTATAAAAATTTAAATGTTGGAAATATAAATTCTTACAAAAGTTTCTTAGGAATAATTGTATTTTGTATGTAATAACTGAAAAATTATTCATGAAAAAATATAATTCGCACAAAAAATATTATTAAGAAGCATATTATAAATTTATAATGTAAAATCCAATCATTGGGATTGGGTTAATTTTTCAATTATCTCATCTGTGCTTGGCATCAAATGCCTATGAATATTCAAAATATTGTCAGAATTTGTACTCCTTAGGTATGTTTTATTCTTCTTAAAGAAGAGAATGTTCTCTCATTAGTTGCAGTACTAATGTGAAAAGTTATTAATATTAATAATTTTAGTACACAGGGAAAATAATCTTAAAGATGTTTGAAATGATGCAAAGCATCCATAGCATTTTTTGGGACTATATCAACCATAGTTAATCTTTTATACTATAGTTGGCATTTATCTAATAAGGTATCATAAGATAAACATCTTTATGAAAAAAATCTGATAAATAATTTATTTTTTTTCTATTACCATCTGAAAAAAGAGTTTTGTGGAAGTAATATCTGCAGAGGCAGACTGTTAAGTGCTGCCTGATGAATTAAAACCCGTTCATTTATTTGGGTAATAAATGTATCTAAGAGAGGGATGAAGACATTTATTTTATAATACTCTTCTACTGACCCTATATTAATGTTAGGACGATGAGCTTGCCTCGCTGCAAGTCGAGGGAGACAAATGTTAAACTCGTATAGCTCTGCTTTAGACTCAAGAATAACATATAAAATATGAAATTCTTAAACAACATTAGCCTTAATTTCCCTGATTTCTAATAAAATGCTCTCCGCTATTCTCATCGTCTCAATCAAGTCAATGTTATATTTTTGAAAATACATAAAATAGTTGTATAAAATACATTCTAATGAGAAAAAAAGTATAAGTATTGAATTTAATGATTTACTTGCTTCTGAATATCTCCTTCAGGCAATTGTGATTTAAGCATTAATAATCGACTCTTCTAAATCTATAAAAGCTGTTACTGTTTGATGGCGAAGACTCTAACTCGTTGGAAAAGCTTTTTGCAATGTCCTTCTCCTTGTTGGACAAGGATTTTCAGAAATAATTCTGTTTACAGAATCCAATGTTTTAAATTTTACACCACGAAAATTACCTTCATTATCATTATTATTGAAATTCAAGCTTCCTGAATCCAAATGGCCAAGTAATTCTAGTCCCTGCAATCCACAATATAGAATGACCTAAATAGTTAGCTTGATCTTACATCTATTTTCTTTTGCTATTTTAATCCTATTTTTGTTAATATGTGATAAAATAGGAATCATATCCCCACAATTTATTTGAAGAAATAATAGGTTCCCAGCGTTTGTGATAATTTGTTTTTTGATGATTGTCAAAAATTTCTCCAGCATCTTTGTACATGTTGACTTAACTAACAGGACTCATATCTTGCGATAAGCTCAATTGTCTCAGATAGAGAATTCTAGCCATAACCATCTAGTAAAATAGCTGTTTTAAAATTTTAACTTTCAATTAGCACATAAAGTTTGTGGATATTAAAATTTTTTAAATAAAATTTTATCATAGGTATCTTTAATAAGCTTATGTCTTACTTCTAGGCTAATTATAAAATGTTATAAAATTATTTTTCTTTTTTGTAAGATGACTAGGATTTTCATCATCAACAATATGTTTAAAAAAATTTCTTATGTCCATAATTATTATTTGGCTAGAAATTTAAAAATAATAGATAAATATTACGCCAGAAAAACTTGAAATCGAAATTAATTGATAAAATAACTTAGTAAATGAATGTGATAAATAAATGTAATTAAATATATACTTAAAAAGAAAGAATGGAATAAATATTATAAAATACAACTGAATATAAACAATAATATTTTTTAAAAATTTATCCGGCATCTGCATTTTTTAGCTTGGGGGGAGGGGATTTGTCCCCCTGCCCCCCCCCCGCTGCGTACGCGCCTGATTATTCAATAAAATTTTTAAAATTGAAAGAGGAAGAAATTATCAATGTTAACCGAAATTTCCATTAAATTCAATCAACAGAATTTAAGGTTATGCACATTCAAAGTTGGACAAACAAAATTCGAACTTTCTAACATGTAAAAAATTCATTTTTTTTAATTAAACTTTACAATTCGACAAAAACATTAACATTTAAAATTAATTTGAGTAAAATGTTGTAGTAGCAATCGATTTGCTGCAACTTGTTTTTTTTTCATTGAAACTTCAACGCACACCCTATCATTTTGCTTAATAATTGAGTTATGTAAACAGCTTTTTATCGTAAACCACATGAAATGTACTAATTCCTGACCTATTGTTCTGCGGGTGCCAGATCGATCTTCTTGGCTCAATATGAATGTTTCAACAGAATCAACATTTCCCATAGTACGAGCTGTGCGTGTTCGACCACTACCATGTCGTTTTACTGCTGATCAGGTAGACATCAATTTTTCAATCAAGATTTAAGTCAGATCGGTTTTTGTTAAAAATTTTTTAAAACCTTTTAGTTTTGTAATTCTCTTGTCTTAAAATTTTAACTAAATTCAAACTCAAGTCATTTTTACTGAAAACTCTTTTTATTTTTCATTATCGTCTGCTTATATGTATAGTTTGATAAAAAATAAATTTTGCATGAAAAGTCCGAATATTGCTTGCCTAACTTAAAATGTCCATAACTTAAGACCCTGTTGATAAAATTTGATCATATTTGTAGAAAACATTGTTAATTCCCAAGCTCAAATTCAAAAATTTTATTGAATTATTTTTAGAATTAACAAATTTATTGCTTATTAAATTTGCATTAAAATAAATTAAAATAAAATCTCTACGTTCATATTATTTTTTTCCCTTACCAAATCTATAACAATATTACTATATTTATTAAATTTGATACTTAGGATTCATTTTTTTATTTAAATAAAAATATGAATATGAAAGCTAGGGCGTTCCCTCCAAGCGACGCGCAGGGTGTAGACCTCCATCTTGTGAAAAGTAAAGTAAAGGTCAAAGCAAAGAAGACAAGATTAGCAAGTTTGAATATTGGGACGCTTAAAGGTAAGACGAGAGAGTTGGCATCAATGTTGAACAAGAGAAAAGTTGATATAGCGTGCATACAAGAGACGAAATGGAAAGGTCAGAAGACTTTAATGATTGGAGATGGGTATAAATTGTACTATAATGGAATTGTTAGCAATAGAAACGGTGTCGGCATCCTCAGTCAAGATCTAACCTCCTCAGTAGTAAAAGTCAACAGGATCTCTGATAGACTAATGAAGATAAAACTCTGCATTAGTCAATCAATACTACACATCCTTTCAGTATATGCTCCTCAAACGGGTTTCAAGGAAGAAGAGAAAGATGACTTTAGAGCTATCCTTGATAAAGCGATAATGGAAATCCCTAAAGATGACCTAGTCATAATTGGTGGTGACTTAAATGC